TATATAATATATATATATATTTTAATATGCTTGTATAACGCATTTTTAATTATATTGGCTTTGCATTGTATATGGTATTTCCCTATTTTGTGTTTAATGTTGGGATGAATTCCTCAACTTTAACTTCATCTTCACGAGCCCGTCCACTCTACTCAGCTCAGTTCATTAGGATAGGATTGGCTAAGCTAACCAAGAGAGCACAGTAGGTGGCGATATGCGCAAAGATTGCAACTCGCCATAAAACTAAGAAGAAGAAGAAGCTAACCAAGAATCTCATCAGTAGTGCGCATGCGTGCGCCGCTCACACATGCGCAGTCGCTCTCTTGTCGGTGAGTGAGTGGCGAAGATGGCGTGCTCCGCGGCTCGCTGCTCCGCGCGCTGGATCGCGGCGGCGGTGTCCTCCGGTCACAGACGGGCCTGCTCTCCTCTCCTGTCCAGCGCGGATGAAGTCCGTAGGAGCCTCTCGACGCTGTCGGGCCGCCGGGTGTGGACTGCGGTGACATTGAGAGGCATGACAGGTGAGAGACAGAGGCCTGAGCATCACACCACACACTGCTGCTAACTCGGAGTTCAACACATGCACAACACAACACAAATCAGATCTGATATGCATTCAGCTTCATATGACATGATGATGTAGCCATTAAACGTTCACGTTAGGTCAGAAAGCAAACAAAGTTATTGCGTTCAACTCTAAATCAACAACACATGCACACGTGATCACTTTGATCAAGAGCTGCCTAATCAATAGTGTGTGAGTGAGTGAGTGTGGATCTGAGGAGAAATCACTCACCTGCTTCGACTCAGTTTCCAGAACCTTCTCTGACCTTGATGCAGTGACTGTCAGCTGGACAAATAAAGACACTTTATTAGTCCTGTTGTGAAGAAAAATGATCAAAACATTTTCAAAATACCCCATAGCAGTGTTTCCCAACCGGGGTGCCGTGTAAAAAAAAAATCATTTTTTAATATTTTTAAATTGCTAAAATGTTCAAAAAAGCATCTATTATATAATATCCATTTCTGATGTCGACAATAATGAGAGATGCACCGAAATTTCGGCTGCCGAAAATTAGTTCACCGCTCAGGATTCACTTTCACGTGGTGTGACGCTCTGCGTATTATCCTGCTCTATGCGTGTGCGCTCCGCTCAGTCGCTCCACTCATATAACCGTTCATGCTCATCGGAACAGCAGTCCACTCAAAAATCGAGCCGACAGGAAACATCGACGCGCGCTGGATCGCGGCGGCGGTGTCCTCCGGTCACAGACGGGCCTGCTCTCCTCTCCTGTCCAGCGCGGATGAAGTCCGTAGGAGCCTCTCGACGCTGTCGGGCCTCCGGGTGTGGACTGCGGTGACATTGAGAGGCATGTGAGAGACAGAGGCCTGAGCATCACACCACACACACACTGCTGCTAACTCGGAGTTCAACACATACACAACACAACACAAATCAGATCTGATATGCATTCAGCTTCATATGACATGATGATGTAGCCATTAAACGTTCACTTGTAACGTTAACGTTAGGTCAGAAAGCAAACAAAGTTATTGCGTTCAACTCTAAATCAACAACACATGCACACGTGATCACGTTGATCAAGAGCTTCCTAATCAATAGTGTGTGAGTGAGTGTGGATCTGAGGAGAAATCACTCGTACCAAAAATAAAATTAAAATAAGCATGTAACGACCACAAACGGAGGAAAATAGCGGAGTAAAAGTACTGATACATCACTTAAAATGTACTCAAGTAAAAGTACACCATTTTTAAACTACTCAAAAAAAGTAAAATTACTGATAAAAACTACTTAATTACTGTAACGTGAGTATTTGTAATTCGTTACTTCATTTCTGATGTCGCCAATAATTAGAGATGCACCGAAATTTCGGCTAACGAAAATTAGTTCACCGCTCAGGTTTCACTTTCACATGGTCTGCGTATTATCCCGCTCTATGCGTGTGCGCTCCGCTCAGCTCCACTCATACCGTTCATGCTCATCGGAACAGCAAAGTCCACTCAAAAATCGAGCCGACAGGAAACATCGATGTAGTACAGTATTGTTTCTGTCTGCAATAGCCCTACTGTGTTGTAACATGGTGTGGTATATGGGCAACTCTGGTAATGCTGCCCTCTCATTCATTGATCTCCTAACCGCTATGTTATGCTCATGTGTCCTCTGATGATAATAGCTTTCTAGGATTAAACATTATTTGGATAATTGGTAAAAAAAAAACTTAAGCCTACTGTTAGACCTACCTGAACAACTAAAAAGCAATTTATTTAATTCGTTATTTTTTATTTGTGCTATCATTATTAATTTCTTTATTTGTTCTTATTTTATTACTATTTTTATGACTATCTCGTGCTACTGCACCAACATTACCCCACTGTAAAATTAAAAAAACACTGAGTGAGCAAAAATTTGTGAGATAGTTATAATGGTAATTAAATCATGTTTACATATGTATAAAAGCCTACATTAAAATCTGTCATATAAATTGGTCTCTTCATTAGAAATTAGCCTACTGATTGCCACCATTGATGGACAATTTTTAATATTAAA